CCCCCCCCGACCCACCAGCACAGACCTGCCAGGCATTTCTCTGCTTGCTGCTCCAATGGCTTAAGTCAGAGGTTGTCAACTGGGGGTACGCCTACCCCTGGGGGTACTTTGAAAGGTCCCAGGAGGTACGCAGGGCTGGGCGGGGTCGGTGTGCCACCACCCCACATCGCTGGCTCACAGGAGCAGGGCCAAGGTGGGGCAACAGCAGGCCTGCACAGACCCCGCTCCACATCCAGCCACTTGCCACTCCCCCCTTCCTACCCTATCACCTAAGGAGGCCATGTCAGCCAGCCTCTGGCTGGAGTGGTGAGGGGACAGGGACCTTGACAGGGGCAGTACCCCTCTCACAGCTTCCCAGGTAGCGCAAGCCTCTTCCTGGTGCAGGAGCAGGGCAGGGCGGTCAGAGCTGCCACAGACTGCATAGAACAAGTGGCAGCACTAGGGCTCAGAGAGGTGACCATAGCCGCCCAAGCACCCATCCCCCAGCACACTTCCACTTGCCCTGCAGTTTGTGGCAGCTCTGACTGCCCCACTCTGCTCCCGTCTGCAGTACAGCCCCCTGCTGGGAACAGGCTTGTGCTCCCCGGGAAAACAGCATGGCCCCCTTAGGTGAGGGGGCAGAGAGCAGGGTTATTTCCTCCCTCCCTCCCTCCGGTGTCTGGTGGAGCGGGCAGGGAGGGGTCTTGTCCTGCCACTTGCCCTGTGCAGGGAGTAATCAGAGGTGGCAGTGAAGGCTGGCAGATCCCTGTTGCAGTCGCCCAGAGGCAGAGGCAGAGGTGGTGGAGGGGGGAATAAACCCCCTCCTTGCCCCCTCTGTCTCAGGGAGCCATGCTGGCTGGCATCTGGCCATGCCCCACCCCTGCTGCAGCAAGTGGGGAGTGCCAGATGGAACGCGGCTCGGGTCTGTGCTGGTGGGACAGGGAGGGGAGAATTAAATCCCATCCCTGGCCACTGCACTTGAGGCCACTGCTGGGGCTGGCCACGCTGCCTCCAGCACAGCTTCCCTGCAGCCGAGGGCTGCTCTATCACCCCCTGGCTTCTGGCCTGAGCCACTGCAGGCATGTGCCTGCACGTCCTGTGTGAAAAGGGACTGTCTATTCACTTGTAAATTGATTACATCTACACAGGTTAAACTAAACTGCAAAGATTGAATCAATTCAGGCTCTGGCTTTCTGAATGTCTGTCCCTAGCCCTTACTGGATAGGGGCACAGGCTAGTTAGACACTTGGGAGTTCAGCTGACTGCTTTTATCAACAGCAAAGGGACTTGACCAGCATATCCTATTCCTTTCAGCAGCTTATAGGAGGGTAGATGATGAGACACCAAAGCATATTCAGGCACTACTTGTGCTTGAACATGAGCTAAGGATGCTGGTATAAGCCTCTTGTATAGAGTTCCTGAAGAGAATCAGTGGAATTTAGGCCATTTGGATTGTGTAGAAACACTATGTTTCAAAACCAAGGTGGTTTATACTTTTGCCATGGAAAATTCAAAGACAACCTCTGAGAAAAAATGAAGAGACTCTATGATGTAAGGTCATATGGGGACTTTTCTCAGAGATGAGAACTGGTCTGGTTCCATAATTGTAGTAGCCTTAAACTGGATAAATCTTGGGAGAAACACTATACAGTACTTACAGCAAAGTGATGTAGTGAATACAGTAGAGTGCCAGAACTAAACCCAAAGTGTACGGACAGACACAACACTTGAACTGTTCCAAGAATGTTGTTGATTGTTTCCCAATCATTGACACAACTGTCTTAAGTCACAGTTATCCACAGGCACACTGCTAAGGGTCCCAAGTAGAACAGCCACTTTTTAGGCACTGCAGCACTATCAAACTACTACCAGGCGGGTTGTAGTGAGTACCCAGCCCATTGCAATTTTGTGCTTTCTTTTCTCACTAATGTTGAGTTCAATAAAGACCCATTCCTGCACCTCACTGAACTCTGGTGGCAAGTGACTGGGAGTGTCTGTGGGTGTGTGTAGGGCTGGGGGAGCTGCCTGGACCCCTGTTTCTGTATGCTTGGGGGCTGGAGGCTCAGGGGGCCGCTCTCCAATGCTTTTAAAGAGCTGGTCAACCTCCTTCCATTGCTTGCAGTGGAGTCCTCTGACATCCCTCTGGAGCCCTCAGCCCTCAGGCATAAAGACACAGGGGTCCAAGTTCTCTACTCACCTGGCCACCTCCCAACCTGAATAAGTCTGGAATACATGGAATCCTGGTCAACTGCCATCAATGGAAGAAAGTTGACCAGCTCTTTAAAAGTGGTGGGGAGTTGTCCCCAGCCAGGGACACTGCTGTCAAAAGCAGGCAACAGGGATCGGTTGCAAGGGGACCGCTTCTTCTGGCGGGTGCTCTCAGGGGGAGCACCAGCGCTCTCGCCTGTTGCCCCTGCCTGGGAACGCTGCTGTCAGGGGGTGCACCAGCACTCTCAGGGGGTGCATGTGCAACCCCGTGCACCCCTACGCATCACCACTGAGACAGAAGGAGTGATTTGCCATCCTGACCCCTTGGCCCATGAGCTCTGCTGCCTCCCAGGGGCCCTTATCTGGAATGTAGGTGAGAGGATCCAGAAACTTGTCGGGCCCTCTGACAACAACTCCATGTTTCTTATCCTTGTGGGCACAAATGACATGGCTTGGAGCAATTCCAGCAGGGTTATGAGTGACTATAGGGCTCTGCGGGTGGGGGCACAGGTAGCTTTTTCCTCAATCCTTCTGGTTATGGGTCATGGGCACAGGAGGGAGAGATGCACTGATGAAGTAAACAGAAGACTGTGTCATTAGTGCCATTGCGAAGGCTTTGGCTTCTTCGACCACAGTCTGCATTTCACAGAGAGAGGCAGCATTCTGTTGGGAAGGGACAGCCTCCAACTCATTCCAATGCGGAAGCAGCTCTTCTCAGCCAGAATGCCTGTCCTGCTTGACAGGGCTTTAAACTGAGTTCGCCTGGGGATAGGCGGACAACCACCAGTGCAAGCCCACCAAGCATCAACCGCAGAATCAGCAGGTCAGGTAGCACAAGGGAATTCACTCCTACCCCAGCCCAGGGATGGGACTCTTCTAGGGCTTCCGATGGCAGGCTCACTTGCCTGTACACAAATGCCAGGAGCCTGGTGAACAAACAGGAGGAACTAGCGCTTCTGCTAAACAAAAATGACTATGATCTTATAGGGAGAACGGAGACCTGGTGGGATTCCACCTATGACTGGACCACAGGTATAGATGGCTATACCTTGTACAGGAGGGATGGTGTTGCAAGAAAGGGCGGAGGTGTAGCTCTCTATGCGAAGGAGCACTACACTTCCCTACAAGCGGAGATTGGCACCCAAGGAGTGCGATTTGAGACCCTCTGGGTTAGATTACAGGGGAACGTGGTGAAGGGGAGAAGCTTGGGAGAGTCCAGAGGAGAGCCACATGCATGATTAGAGGATAAGAGCGCAGGACTTATGAGGAGAGGCCGAGAGGCATGGGACTCTTCATCCTGGAGAAGCGCAGGCTCAGGGGTGACTAGGGGGCAGCCTACAAGTACATAAGGGGTGTGTATCGGGAACTGGGAGAATGTCTGATCACCAGGGCACCCCAAGGGAAGACACGGTCCAATAGTTACAAACTCCTGGAGGACCATTTTAGGCTGGACATAAGGAAAAACTTCTGTACTGTCCGAGTACCCAGGGCCTGGAATAGACCCCCCAGAGATGGTGCAAGCACCTACTCCGGACACTTTCACTTGGATGCCTATTTTGCTAAGGATCATTTGACCCCAGTTCACTTCCTGCCCCTTGACCCGGGGTCTGGATCCAGTAATCTTGCGAGATCCCTTCTAGCCCTAATATCTCTGAAATAAAAATTCATATTTCACAGGACAGCGGAAGGTGTTGTAGGATCTCCTGGTTGGAAAGGTTCATTTTGTGCCAATTAGGTTCAGATAAAAGTTAGAGCAGTCTATTTACCTCAAAGTTGACTGCTGGCAAGCAGGATGTTGAATTATGCTTCCTTCTGGTTATGTTGTTTCATATTTCGCAGGAGGATGAGGTGATGGAATGCTCTCCTGGGCAAGGAATTTCTCGTGTTAAGGCAGCTCGCTGCTCTGTGAACATGCAAGTTTAGCTCGAAAACAAAAGGCAGGAGCAAGGATGTCAGCCTTCAGGTTTCTGTGTGTTGAATTTTGCTTTCTTCTTGTAAAATTATGAAGTTTTCTTTTAAAAAAATGAAAATCAGTCACAGAACAGGAGATTCTGGAGGGATTTGCTTGGAAGTAAAATTGTTTTGAGTTGGTGACATGAAACTATGAAAGAAAGATGCTTAATAATTAAAATAATATTGCCTCTGCTTTGATAAATTATTATTTTCTTTTTTTGTTTAGGACAGGTTGCTTAAAGTGTTATCATCATAGGCTCCACTGGAAGGGAGGGGGAAGTTGAGACACAGTATTGTTATGAGTTTATACCTGCTGACCTGCAGTTAAGTGAGTTGTAAGAATCCATTAAGATCTTCTGTGGAACCAGCTAGCTGAAACAACAGGAACCTGCATCCAAAACAGGAACATATCACTGCTCAGAACAAAAGTATATGGAAGGAGTATTATTTTTTGGTAGGGGTACTGTGAAAAAGGCAGCAAAAACCCTCAAAGGAATAAAGCACAAAGTCCAGAAGCAAGCATGACTCTGAAGAAAACCTAGAGAAGGAGCCTGGGTTAATTCTGGCTGAAAGAAGCTTGGAACAGTGAGGTTTGAAATCATCTCTGGTTTGAAAGCTCCTGTATTTAAGGAAATGGGACTCTGTAAACAAACAGGAGTATGTCAATGAAATAACCAACTCTATTATCAACCTCTGCCTCTCACAGCACCGTGAATTTTGATTAACCTCTCAGGTTAAAGAGTACAACAGTACTGAGCAGATTATGGATAGCTACCTCCCCTTCATTTCGGATGCTAATAGTCTAAGCCAATTTGGTTTATTGCAGAAATGGACCGGTCCATTACCCCACTGATAAGTAGGAGATTTACATGCATGAGGCTGGTCCTGGGAAGAGCCATGCAGGTGAGTAGTCTCATTATGGGTCTCAGCCTGTCAGGTGATGAATGCCCTCAACTCCCATTGACTTGCACATAGAACTTTTCAGGATTAAACCACTTCATTCCAAGGTAAATGATGCATGTTTTGCTGTACAATCTCTTTGCCTATTATACACTGCCACACATTCCTGAATACAAGTGTCACACAAGGTGCAACTCCTAAAAATAACTCCAATGTACTGAAGGGCTTTCTTCCCCTCTCTCAAGCAAGTCATTTTTCCTCTCCATAGTGACTAGATCTTTGAGTTGAATTGGCTCCGTGGTGTCAGGTTACTGCTATAGCTCCCCTGCCTATTAGAGTAGATCTCTCTTCTTGCTAACTGTTGCTCTCCATTGCACTGATTTGCGAATATTTCATTAGTGTATCTCTGTTATGTGTTCTTTGTGTAGCCTGAGAAAAAAGACCTTGTTATTCTCATTCTTCAGTTATGATTGTTTGAGAGGTGAAGTACTGCTGAATTTATACTTGGATTTAAAGGGATGCTTCCCATTTGAAATACACAGAGTACTTCAATTTTTTTTTAACCTCTTTTAACAATCTAACAACACATTAGAAGTGAAATATTTTAAAGTATCTAAATTTTAGTGTTGCCAGTTCCCAATCTTATTGTAAATCTTATGCTATTTGGTGTTTCCCTTAAAACACCAGCTCTTCCATTCAAGCAATTAAATGAGAATCTCATTCAAAACAAAAGTACTTGTCTCACTCATTAGGTTGCAAAGAAAAGCTTGGAATTGTGATGCAAGCATAACTTAAAGCCTCAAAACCAGAAGACAAATACAAAAGATCCCCAAATGTTTAAAAAAATCTCACAATTTTTAAGCCAATCTCTTGATTTTTGAATGCCTGGGGACTGGAGAGATATTATCTACCTTTCACCATTTTATGCCATTTGTTTACTTTTTATATTTTAATCAGGTTAGTGAAACTCAGCTGGAGTTTCATTTCTTGATCTCTTGTACTAGCATGATGAGTTATGCTTAGGGATCTACAGCTGCAAGTCACTACATTAATTTACCTCATTTTATATGGACATTCAGAACAAACAAAAGAACTTTTAAGATAACAGTTCAAATTAGATTTTGTAAAAAATGTATTTTTGGTGCTAGCTATTTACATTTTGCACCTGTGCCACTGAACCAGATCTTTTTTATCTCTTTGAATAATTTTGTCATGCTACAAGTAAAAAAAAAGATTAGTTTACTACAGCCTATTTAAAGGAATATATTCCTGTAAATCATTAAAGTTCTTATCATCCAGAGACTTCCTACTCAGTAAAAAAAAATACATTCTGGAACAGGTTAACATCTACCCTTTAAAATTCAACTTTAAGATGCCTCAGTGGATTGAAACCATTTTTGTATTAATTTTTTTTTAAACTGCATCTGGGCTGACAGCTTGAACACTGAGTTGCAGCCCAATGAGATAGAAATGCCAACTCAATCTTAACCATAGTGTTGCTACCAGTTGCTATAATGATCTTAATCAAAGAGTATTGTGATAAAAAGGAACTCTGGTTTGACTGCCTTTGGCATGTCCTAGTTATCATAGTGTCCAGATTTCACATTATGCATTCTGAAGTAAAATTCCTTCCTAGAAAATTCCATACTGAATCTACATTTTTGTTCTTTTCAAATAAAACATAACTGTATAGTACTTCTACCTTTCTTGAAATCTGTATGAGCACTCAATATAGTCAGAGAAGTGAATAAACTGCAGAAGGAATGGTCAATCCATTCTAAATTCTAGAAAAGACTTTTGAAGTAATTATGGCTTTTTTTTTTTTATCGTTTGTACTGAAAGTAAAATCCCATGTTATCCCCTTGCACTGACTAGCCAACTGGAAAAAAAAAAAAACGTGATGAAATCTGCTCCACTACTAAATGCCTTTCCTAAACCAGAAGGAATTTTTGTTATTAGAAAGGATGATTTAGTGACTGATGTGCAAAACAGTAATTTAAATATTGATTAATGCACATTCACTTTGCACTGTTCAAAAACAGATTATTGATGATAATAGGTAAGAGGATAGGATTTGTATGGTGAATTAGATCACATGCAAGCACATATCTAGCACCCAGGAAAGCAAACCATCCAAACATCTGCCTCTCGTGTCAGAACTCAGTAGTTAAGTACCTCGGCACAGTGGAATTTTCTAGCACAATGAAGCTTTTCGGCACGGTGAAATTTTCCGCTACGGTGGAGAACCCCGATGCAGAAAAATTCCCGCCATCCTTATGTAAGCACACCATTATTGGCCGGTTCTAAATTATTCCTACGTGGCGACTAGCAATTGGTTTGCTAGCCATATAAAAGTTAGAGCAGTTTCCGCCCAAGTCGGAGAGCTCTGAGCCCATCTCGGAGTAAACTTGGCGGACTGATCAACCACCAACGACTCCCCGTCATCGACTTTCCCGACGTACCCCGTGTCCTGCATGCTCGTTGAATTGTTGTACCCCGTGTCCTGCATGCTCGTTGAATTGTCCACGGACATCTCACCTCAGTTTCTAGAGCTCTCGTTCGGTTTGCAACTGTAACTGAAGTTAACTCTTCGCCTACGCTGTGTCCATTGACAGTGTAAGTAAAGTAATCTTGGTTTAATAGATACGGCCTAATCCTGCCCCAGCGGGGAAACCTCCCCCCCTGCCATTTCCCGGCCTAACACTCGACCGCTACATGGAGTCACGAACAGGATCTGGGGAAGACGCGATGGAGTTAGAATTAGTTAGAAACTGCCCCTGGCGCAGTGAAAGGCGCCACATGACGAACGCCATGGAACTAGGGGCACACATCGCCTATCACCAGGTGGGCGGAATGGGTGAAAGGCTCGTCAGCGGTTAGCTTTCGCTGAAGGGGGAAGAGGGAGCTTTGAAAGAATGGGAAGCACATCTTCACCCCGGAGCGTTCGGGTGTGTGATGGGTAGTGAGCGGGTCCTATTTAGGCCCCGCGAGGAAGTAAGCACCGCATCCCTCACCAGAGTCATACCAGCAGGCGCAGTAGACCTGACTCTTAGCCAAGAGTACACCCGCTGTATGCGGCTCGTGCGGGAGGGTGGAGAACCGACGCCAATCGACCGGTTCAGTCCCTCTGCTCTGGCATCTGGATTGAGGGGCTGCGAGTAATCTTGGTTTAATAGATATGCTTCTGTGCCTAATTCTGCTCCATCACAGGAAACTACCCACCTGCCGTTTCCCGGCCTACCACTCGACCACTACATCTTGAAAAAAACCGTAAAATCTAAATGAAGTCAGTGCACGCACCAGGTGAGGCCATGGCAGAGTCAGAGTCACATGATCTATACAGCTGCACACTGTTCTCTTCCTGGTCAAATACCAAGATTAAGTACTTAAGGAATCTGTTTGAAAGCAGCTGCTGGATCCGTTACTTTTCAAAATTAATACTATTGCCTGGCACAGCTTAATATACTGGCTTAAAGTAACAGCTATTTTCAGCACTCCTCTGTTTGTCCACTCCTTGCTCCCCTTCGCTACTGTCATACAGTAGCACCCAGACACTCCAAAAAGGATCACAGTCCCATTGTGCTAGGTGTGGTCCAAACACAAAGTAAGCGATCACCTCTGCTATGAAGATTTCACAATCCAATTTATGACTGGATGCACCACCTGAAGGAATGTGGGCAGGAGCTGGAAGGTAATACTAGCTGGAAGAAACATAAATTAGAACCATGTTTGTTAACATGGCCTAGAATAATTTGAATGCATTCATTAGAAATGTTGCTTATAAGTAAATATGACGAACATTGTTAACCTCAAATTGTCACTAGCTAGTAATTATCAGTTGGCAGCAACCTGCAAGTATCATAATAAAAGTGAGTCCTGGGTGGTCTTGTTAAATTCAGTGATGGAGACACGTTAACAGGGGCGGGCAATTATTTTGGGCAGAGGGCCGCTTACTGAGCTCTGGCAAGCCATCGAGGCCTGCATGACAGGCAGTTGGGGGCAGATAAATATTAATTTTCTAAATTTTGTAGGGGCCGCCCTGAGGACCGGATAGAATGGCCTAGCAGGCC